GCCTTTGATGTCCTAGAGGAGAAAGATAAAAGGAAATTCAGTCCCATCTCTCGCACTAAGGATCCCTCCTGGTCTGGAGGGGACTCACTTTGTCTTCACAGTTTGAGGTTCAAAGTGAAATTATTTGTTATTTATTAATGCAAACAAAACATTAAATGTGTTGCCTTTGCTCTTTTGGAGAAGTGCTCTGACTGCAGGATCTGGGCCCAGGAAGTTTGTACTAGGGAGCAGGAGCACACAGGCTCTTTGTGTAGTGACATTTGGCTAACCAGCTGGCACATGGAATCAGAGGGCTCAGTCTTGCGATGTGTTGAACAAGGATCTTCCTAACACTCACAGGTGTGGGGAAGATCCCCTCCTGCAGACTCCAGTGGGTCCAGAGGGAGGGATGCCCCCATGCTGTGCTGCCTTCATGCTGTAAACTCTCTCCCCACTCGCCCACAAGCATTCTGAAGGCCCGTCCTGTGGGGTTCTTGACACCCACAGGAAGGTGGGGCTGGGCGAGAACAATGGGTGTGGGGTACAGAGTAACACAGGGCCATTCACCGTCCTAAGCCCTAGGATCAATGCAGGAAACCTGAGGAGTGAAGAATGCTGCCCACAGCAGATACTGGCTGCAACAGAGAATCTGACCCTAGATATCAGCTAGAGAAGTCCAGGATGCTACATTTTATTTCTCGCCTTTTTTTTCTCTCTTTTTTTTTGCTAGTTAGAGGCATTTTTTGAAAAATAAAATCCTTAGAAGGCTTTTGGAATTCTAACGACTACTTACACTTTCAGGCTACCATAAGTAATGAACAGCTCCTATCTAACTTCAGTTCTGGCAGAAAAATCACCACAGCCTCAGACCTCATGTATCAATTTTAAGGCCAATATTTTCCCCTTTTGTGATATGTAGGAAAAGTGGCAAAGTCAGGCTTTAAATGGAATCTTAGCTTCAATCTTAGTTATTTCCATAATTAAAGACAGGTTCCATCTTTAATCTTTTGGAGTTGGCGTTTGGAACACAGGAAATGCCGGACTGGCTCAGACCAGAGGTCCTTCTAATCAGTATTCTGTCTCCAAAGATGGACAGTGCCAGATGCTTCAGAGGAAGGTGTAAGATAATCTGCCTCCTACATTCTCATCCTTCTCTCTAACAGTTAGCGACTGCCTGAAGCAATGAAGCATGAGATTTAATATCACTCTGCATCTTCTTGTTATCCATATAAATATCTGATCACTTTTTGAGTTTTGCTAAATGTTTGGTCTCAATGATACCCGGTGGCAATCAGTTCCACAGGCTAATTACATGATGTGTGAAAATGTGTTCATTGCATCAGTTTTGAATTTGTCACCTTCTAATTTTATTGAATGTCCCTTTGTTCTTGCATTATGAGACATTATCTTGACTTTAGCAAAGCTTTTGACACGGTCTCCCACAGTATTCTTGCCAGCAAGTTATAGAAGTATTGGCTGGATTAATGGACTATAAGGTGGATAGAAAGCTGGCTAGATTGTCGGGCTCAACGGGTAGTGATCAATGGCTCGATGTCTAGTTGGCAGCCGGGATGAAGCGGAGTGCCCCGGGGGTCAGTTCTGGTGCCGATTTTGTTCAACATCTTTATTAATGATCTGGATGATGGGATGAATTGCACCCTCAGCAAGTTTGCAGATGACACTAAGCTGGGGGGAGATGTAGATATGCTGGAGGGTAGGGATAGGGTCCAGAGTGACCTAGACAAATTGAAGGATTGGGCCAAAAGAAATCTGATGAGGTTCAACAAGGAAGTCCTGCAATTAGGAAGGAAGAATCGCAAGCACCGCTACAGGCTGGGGACCGACTGGCTACAGAAGCAGCTTCTCCTCCCTTGGTGTTCACACCTCTACTGCTAGCAGAGCACCTCACCCTCCCTGATTGAACTAACCTCATTATCTCCACACTGATTTATACCTGCCTCTGGAGATTTCCATTACTTGCATCTGAAGAAGTGAGGTTCTTACCCACGAAAGCTTATGCTCCCAATACTTCTGTTAGTCTTAAAGGTGCCACAGGACGCTCTGTGGCTAAACAGCAGTTCTGCAGAAAAGGACCTAGGGGTTACAGTGGATGAGAAGCTGGATATGAGTCAGCAGTGTGCTCTTGTTGCCAAGAAGGCCAACAGCATAGTGGGCTGTATAAGTAGGGGCATTGCCAGCAGATCGAGGGAAGTGATTATTCCCCTCTATTCGGCACTGGTGAGGCCACACCTGGAATATTGTGTCCAGTTTTGTTTCCCCCGCCCCCCGCCACTACAGAAGGGATGTGGACAAATTGGAGAGAGTCCAGCGGAGGGCAACAAAAATTATTCAGGGGCCGGGGCACATGATTTACGAGGAGAGGCTGAGGGAACTGGGATTATTTAGTCTGCAGAAGAGAAGAATGAGGGGGGATTTGAAAGCAGCCTTCAACTACCTGAAGGGGGGTTCCAAAGAGGATGGAGCTCGGCTGTTCTCAGTGGTAGATGACAGAACAAGAATCAATGGTCTCAAGTTGCAGTGGGGGCGGTCTAGGTTGGATATTAGGAAACACTATTTCACTAGGAGGGTGGTGAAGCACTGGAATGGGTTACCTAGGGAGGTGGTGGAATCTCTAGCCTTAGAGGTTTTTAAGGCCTGGCTTGACAAAGCCCTGGCTGGGATGATTTAGTTGGTGTTGGTCCTGCTTTGAGCAGGGGGTTGGACCTGAGGTCTCTTCCAACCCTAATATTCTATCATTCTATATTTCTACAGAGAGAACACAGTTTGGAGTTTGTGATTTTTGGAGGAGTCTTCTTCCACTAGAATTCAAAAGAAGAATTTCTTTTCATTTAGGGCTCAATCCAAAGCTCCTTGTACTCAAGAAGTATATTTCCATTGACTTTAATGGGGATTTTATCAAGCCCTTAAGGAAGAAAAATGTATATTTTAGCAATACTGTATGTTCTGACCATTCACTCCTACACTCCAAAAGTGAAGAGTTAGGAGACTTTCTCGCCCTGTAAAAGGTTCTGGGGTGTTTCTAACACCGTCTCACCTGCAGGAATTCACTCGCTGGCTGCTGGCACTTCTGCTCCATCTCACTGATCAGGGAACTAAAAGAAGATATTTCCTCAGATAATTTGGCAACATACTCAGGCCTCCCCTTTTCAATTTCCTTATTCAGCTCTTCCAACTGGGCCAGCCGGAGTCGCTCTTGTTCCTCCAGAAACTGGCGCAGTTGCTGAAATTCAGACACAATCTTCTGCTTCTCAGTTTCTAGCTGTTTCTAAAATGACGAGATACGAAGAGGAAAAGCGCTGGTCAAGGACAAGAATACGGAGTGAGTCATGGGACATTTTATGCACGTAGCAGCATGTCATTGCAACCCCACAGAATTTAACTTCTGATATTTTATGGAGAACATACTCTATGCTCAGTAGACAGAAGATTTTCCAATAGATTTTCAAGAGTCCTAACTGGTGTTTAGAATATGAATTTTTCTTGCATGATTTGGATAATCTGTGATCAGTGGCTTCCAGAAAACCAGATCCTTCTAATAACAGGAAGCACAGCAGGTGTGGGATTCAGAACGGGACTGGCAAGGATTATTTTAGTAGAAGAAACAGCAGAACCCAAACTAAGAAGCACTAGACTTGAACTGGGGAACCCATGCTGTCCACAAAATACATTAGAGACATAAAGGGCATTTTAAAAAAAAAGTACTAAAATTTGAGCTCCGTCATTTGCTCTCATGAATTTTGAAAACAGTTTTGGATACATAAAATTTGGCACACCATAAATCTTGGATTTTAAGCCACACAGGGACCTTGAGCACAAATTGGGCTGCTGGGAAGACCCCTTTTTGCACATGCAAATCTCAGTTTGCAGATTGCTTAAGAATGAGCGCATGTGAACTGGACAGAAGCCCACCAATTCATGCTGTTTCTGGAGCACTCTCTGGCCCCTGTACCCTAGGAGCAAGGAAATCAGACCAGACCTGGAACCCAGATCTTCTCCATGGCCATGTCTAGCAGCGATACCATTAAGGGCTTGTTCCAAAGCTCACTGAACTGAACAGGAGTCTTTCCAATGACACCCTTGTGCTTTGTTTTAGGCCTTAAGTGACCAACCTCCTCCTCTGGGGAGCAGATTCCTAGAGAAGCTGCACGGATTGGCCAGCTGTGGTTATCTCGGTTGCAAGTGCAGCTGGCCAAAAATAGCAGGGTTGGGGAATTTGCAAAAATAATTGAAATTTCAAAAGTTGTTTCCATTTCTCAGTTTTTAAAATGGAACTTCTTTTGATTTGGTTGAAAAATATGTTGAAATAACTTTTGAAAAATGTCATATTTTTCTTTCTCCCTTTTCCCAAAATGGAAAAAAATAATGTTCATTTCCCCCATTTTTCTTTTTAGTAGTTCCTCTTGGTACCTCTTCAAAAGATCCCCCAGTTTTGAAAAAGTGGCAAAAAGAAAAAGGAAAAACGAAGGGTAAAAAAACCTGGAAATTATTCATTTTAGTGCACTCAGGAGAAAAAAGGACTAAAAAGAGAAAGATAAAAAATAAACATGAACGTTTTAAAAATGTTCAGCTTTTTAAAAGCAAAATGAAATTTCAGTTTGAAATGACACAAAAATGTTTGTTTCATTTTGAAATTTCCTGTCAAAAAATTGAAAAATTTGTTGCAAGTGACTTTTCCCCATGAAAACAGCTGTTTTCTACTAAACTCTTTTTATCTGCAGGAAGATTTTTTTGGTTGAAAATTTTCAACCAGCTTTAGTTGAAAGACTAAAGGAGAAACTACTGTTACATAAACAAATTACACTGGAATTATCAGTGAAAATATTTGGATGATTAAACCTCTTTCTTTAATGCTGCATTTTCCTGCTTACTCTCAATTAAAGTAGAACAGTTTTTCTTTACAATGAGAATAAAGAAGTGATCATCTTTCACGGATGAGAACGTGTTACTCACTGTTCCTCTGATGATATTCAGACTAAGCCGTGTATTGATAATGGCCCTGTGCACATTTGCTTCTGAGTAATAACGGCACCTACCAGCAGTTCCTGGCTTTTATTTTCCCCACTCAATTTAAACGACAGAATCACTTCTCTCTCTTTCTTCAAAATCTCCAAACGGCTCCGAATTTGGTCCTAACAAAAGAAAACCTGGTTTAATTTTGGTTGTTTTTGGAGGATTTCCCCCCATTTATTTATATTTGCAAGAATATCAAATACATAATAAAATGGGTGAGTGCCCTAACCCCATGACTATACAGTCATTCTCACGCTTGTGGTCTCTCTCTCTTTGGCCCAGATGACTCTTTATCCCCAGTGGAATAGCTTCTCCAGGGGAGAGGGAGGGAGCCCCACATCACAATAGCCCATGGGTAGGGCACTCCCCTGAGAGATGGCAGATCCCCATTTGAATCTCTTCTCCTCATCAGGTGGAAGAGGGACTTGAACCAGTGTTTCCTACTTCCCAGGTGATTACCCTAACCCCTGGGCTAACAGTTAGGAGGGAGGGTTGCTTCTGTGTGTACCAGCTTGTGGGGCCTGATCTGGCAGGTCTGCTCAGAGGCCACCTACCAGGTTGGGCCCCACACTCTACTTAGGCAGCCGAATGCCTGTCTTCCTCCAGACTGTGAATCGCTCTAGGGCTTAGGTGGGAAATAGGCGTCTGGATGCCTAGAGGGAGGCAGCACTGCAGTGTGCATGCCTAGAAATATAGGGATGGTGTAAAAGCTGGAAGAAGCCAGAAAGGCCCAGAACAACATTTTAGTCAATAAAATTGTTGCAAAAACCAGCAGGTGCTTTTACAGACAGTTAAGAGCAATATTTTAGTAATGAGAACAGACTCATAACACATTGTACTCCTGGGGGAATTCTGCGCCACTGCGCAATGCAGGATTTTGCAGAAATTAATGTTGGACATGCAAAATTTCCTTTTTCCCCCACAGAAATGGGCTGCAGAGATGTTGGCCGCCACTAGGGGCTGCTGGACTTGGCAGAGCCCAGCTCGCAAACAGAGACAATGCCGGGGGAGGGAACTGGAGTGTTCCCAGCAGCTGTTGCAGTTCCCAGCTCGCCCCGAGGGAAGGAAGGGGGCAGCAGCAAGCAGGAAACTCTGTGCAAGCCGGGACCCAGCATCAGGCTGTTTCTCCTTCTGGATCCCCGGGCTCTGGAGAGGTCGGGTCTGCGAGTGTCTGGGCCGGGGGAACCTCGCAGCTGGGCTCTGGGGGGAAAGGGGGGTCTGAGTGTCTGGGCCGGGGAGGGCTCCACAGCTGGGCTCTGGGGGGGAGAGGACAGAAATGATACTCACAATACAACTGAGAATAATGCTGTACTACAGAACACCGCTGACAACCCACCTGTTCAACAAACAGCTTTATTCATAAAACCACCTGCAGACTCAGCTCCGAAGTGGCTCACGGGACCAAAATAAAGGGCAATGGGTGGAATGGCATTTTAATAAATAAAACTGATTTAAAGCAACTCAGTGGAAACAGTCAGACAACACTGGGAATGTTACTGTAGTAATGAGAACTGATTAACAGCTGACTGTCATTAACCCATTCCAGCCCAGAACCATTTTAAAACCAAGGAGGAGCCTGAACAGTCAGTTCTGAAGTGGCTCAGGGGACCAGTTTTACATACAGCACATACTGGTGAGACTAATACATTGCTAATGAGAAACTCGTCTGAACCGACCTTGAACCCGGGTTTTTGGGGGATAATTTGTTTTATTACTAAAACCACCCAGAACACTTGGTTCCAAAGTGGCCCAGGGGACAAAAATGCTGCACGTCACACAAGTGAGAGCAACACAGTACTACTGAAAACACCGGCCAAACCAGCCTTTCACTGCCTGCTCTGTGCAATGAAGGGTTAATAAAACACTCTGTTCCGAAGTGGCCCAGAGGATGACAATTAGTTGTTTGCCTCCTGCTGCCTGGCTTTGGGGAAAAAGTCTGAGTCTCTCTTGCTCCCTTTTGCTTTGCAGCTGATTTGCTGCCTCTCTCTGTGTACGCTCCAAAGCTTATCTCCCCAACAGAAGTTGGTCCAATCAAAGATATTACCTCCCTCACCTTGTCTCTCTGCCCCCTGCAAGTCCATTTCCTTCCTCTGATCTCACTCTTCCCTCACTGAGCACTTTCAGTGCTCACTCCTAGACCAGCTCAGCTGTTACCACAGAAATGGGGCCAGGGAGCAGGCAGCGAGGGGGACAGGGTGGGTATTCTATGGGGGCGAATACTCCCTTTCTTGCTGCTTCACAATGCATGTACCCGTGGGGACACCTGTTTTCACCTCTGCTCCTCTGCAGTTTGGAACCTTGACCTTCCCCCCGGCATGTAGCTCTCAGTTGGTGTCGAGAATGCACAGAGCTGCTTAGAGGGCGTGGAAATCCTGTCTGTGCACTTGCATGGCACAAAAGTAGGCTCAGAATAGGCCACTAACCTCCTAGGTCCCTATCATTGTTGCCAATCACTGAGTTGGTAGTCTGTGTTGTTTAAATGCAATACATTATTCTACTTTAATCATCCTACTCTGTCATTGGTTCTGTCTCGACAATTGTCCTGTCGGTGTGTGTCTCACCCTTATCTCTAACCTGATTTGCGCAAAGCTTTGCAGAAGATCTAACAAAACCTAAAATTCACAGGTGCACAAATACAATAAAATAGATTGGTTAGTCTTTTTTTCCTCCAGTATTTGTAGTTTAATTTATATGTATAAATTGGGACCACTTTCACTGCAAGCAGCAGTGGACATTTTAAGAAATCGTATAAAAGAGAAAATATCGACTCTTCCAGCTTCTAAGCCAAAAAATGGACAGCTGCTTGCATACAGTTATGAAGGGCAAAAGGACAAAAAAGATGACTGGAGGTGTGATCAATACAAATGGATCCACGGAGGAAGCCATCTTTTCCCAATGGGGGGAGCCTCTGGTAAGGAAAAGATATTTCCGAAGACTGATCGATACAGATGAGGTTTTGTGTCACAGATATGGATATGAAGTTCTTGGTGGAAATGTGGACAAAGTGATTGTTCATTATCTGGAACAAGAAGAAACACCTGACTCATGTGTGCCCTATAGGAATATGAGAAACTATCCTTTGAGATCTCATGGTCGTACATTGCCATCTGTACTGTCAAAAGTTGTGGAGCAGAAACATTTAGGCCTATCTAAAAATTACCAGTGAAAAATAACAGACTCTAATGTCTCACCTGCCCATACGAGAGTGACTCTCCTCAAAAATACACAAGAAATAAAAAATAATGTATGAAAAACAGAATCAGTCCCAATGCTTAGTGATGTGTATGACCTTCACTGTCCCCTGGAAGGGTTTGTGTGTCAGTACTGCCGGGTCCCTGAAATCTCTGCAAGTTGGGATCTTCCAGACGTTATGGGTATTCCACATTTCAGCCAGGAGACTTTTCCTCTCCCCCTTCATGTGCCTTTTTTCAGGAAAATCCACCAGTTCCTGTAGCTGCACTGATTCATGACAAGTGCACAACACATGCACACAAGATGTTTTTTCATTTCTAGCAGAATGTGTGTCCCAGGTCAGCAGCAGTTCCACTGTAATAGTACTGGGCTATAGGTTATATATTTCAGCCCCATGGCAATTCAGAACTGACTTTTCTGGGTCCTTATTGGTGTTAAAAATGGTTTTTAGCAAGAACAGGTTAATAACAGTGTATTATAAGTCTCATTGCTAAAGTATTGTTTGTAAGGGTGTCTAACGGTATCCGCTGGTTTTTGCCATAATTTTTTTATTAAAATGCAGTTCCTGGCTGTTCCAGCTTTTACACTGCTCTGTGATTTCTTACCTTGTAATCCTCGGCAGCCTCCTCTATGGGAACCACAGTGTGTTCTCTGTGATCTCGGGACAGATGGCAAACCAAACAAATGGGTGTTTGATCCTCTTGGCAGAAGACATCTAAAGCCCTCTTGTGTTTTTCACACACTGTCCCAACTTCTGGTTCATTTGTTCGCTCCAGTGTAAGTTTTCTGGCAGCTTCTACAATATTCCTCAGCTGTCTGTTTGGTTTGAAGTTTCTCTGGGAGAAGGTTTCTCTGCACTCAGGACAGCGGAAGTTTGTACGCAATCCCTCCCAGCACTGAGTGATGCAGGCCTGGCAGAAATGGTGCCCACAATCTAGAGACACTGGGTCTTTAAAATAATCTTTACACACTGAACAAGTCACTTCACCTAGGAGCAGTTGTGCTGGATTCGCAGCAGCCATGGCTGCTTCTGCAGAGAAGAGACAAATTTAGTTTCATTTTCCTGTTCTCAGAAATGGGCTGATTCTGAACTTTGCACACCAAACAGGCGTTTCCTACGTATACATTGTCTCATGTTACTCTTGGGAGGCTGGAAACTGCTTTTGGTCTGAGTTAGCACCTGGAGGAAGCACCAGGACAGACCATGGAGTGGCAGCACCTGACGCTGTTGGTCCCTGCAGTGGTGCAGCCTGGCCACTCTGCAGAACAGCTGATTGAAAAACAGCACCTGCCACATCCACACCCAGCTCCATACAGCGTTTCTTCCCACCATCGCTGGGTCACTGTGTTGTGGGACTCCAGAGGGACCTACAGCATCGCTCATGGCACAGCTCTCTGCAGCAGGTGGTTCTGGGAACATTTACAAAGTGTTGTGGGCTGCCAGTGGTATTCCAGCCTTTAGAAGGGGGATCCTAGAGTCATGACCCTCCCCCTCAACCAATGGCTGGAGCAGTGATCATCTTTTTTTCTGCTCAATGTTTGTCCTCTGTGGTTGATGCAATAATTTCTAAATACCGTCTTCCCCGCCAGGTTCCCACAGCTCAGCAGGGGATAGACACCCGGTCTGTGACTGAGGAAGAGGGAAAACAGGTGGCTGGAACAATGGGGGCCAGAGTCACTACCTGATTCTCACCAACTGCAGCATGAAAACATGTTGATATCTTGTGCCAAGGGCTTTGCAGGAGGCACAGCTGGGCTTCTTAGCCTCCATCTCACTTCTGCAAAGACCTGGTCGGCAAAGCTATTCCAAGTGACAAAAAGGCCTGGTGGATCTGTGTTGCTCCCAGTGACGTATGCAATCAAGTAGTTTTCACTGTGAGGGGGTTTTAACCCATTTCTCAGACAATAACATGCAGATTCAGACCAAATTTTCAGATTCCAGAGCAGTGGACTTATCTGTGGGGGACAAACGCTGTCATCTCTGCTTGAGTGTGAGCCACTGTCACTTGCCAAGGGAGTGGAAATTCCTACTGCTCTTTGGGTTATAACCCGTGAGTTAGACCCTAATAAATCCAACTGGGAGACATTGGGCCTATTACACTGCTCTACAGCCAAAATGCTTCTGAAAGAAATGTAGTCAAACTTTACTAATTCTGGGTCACTGAGAATGAAAATG